ATTTTAAAAAGGACCTTCTAGTAGACAAATTTCAAACAACTGCCAACAGAATGTAGCAATTTTCTAGTGCATGTTAGTGGCAATTGTTTCAAGAGAAGAAACGAGTCATTTTAAACTTACTAAATAATAATATTGTGTCAGAAATAGTTTGACTATCTCCAGAAACAATGCAAGAAATAAGTGAAGCTTGTGATACGTCCAAGAAAGTTTATTAAATTTAAGAAAGTCTACTGTAATATTTAAGTAGGACAAACAATTTAATGCAGATTGAGAATCTGTTGCTGAAAATCAAAGAACTGTCAGCTATTCTCTGAGAAAACTGAATGAATTCAAGAAGTCTTGGATAAAATAGACAAATCACTCTTCATAAGTTGGCAGTTAAAGTGTGTATTTATTATAGTAATTATATTCTAAAGGAATGAACACCAAACCTTATTATAGTAATGTTTGCATCATTGTCAATCATCTAAACAGATTGCAAATCTAAATTCTGGATTACACACGCTTGATCCTTGAGTGCAAATGCTCGATCAGTTAAAAAGGAAAACCAAGAATTCTTAAATTGAGTATCAAAGTATGATGAGACATAGATTTGTTATTATGACCCAGTAAATGAAATCACCAAGATCAAAGAATCTTAAACCTTTTCAGTTAGCTGCACTTAGTATTTTGACATAAGTATTCTTACACATTTTCTCAGGGGCATTTTAACGTATAACTAAATCAAGCATTCACCAAGGGAGCCTCATAAATGATAATGATGATTAGAAATGATACAATGTGAAATTTTGCAATTAATTTTAAGAGCAATTCTCTACATAATATGCCAAATGACTGTTGCATTAAATTGGACTACTTCACCATAATTATTTTTAATTAATTTCAGAAAAAACAGGTAATACGTTGTGTGAAAACAAACTGTTTCATCCATTCGATAATCACTGTTACTTAATAGCTTCGTTTCCAGAAGTAAGTTGGTCGACTGCTTATAGAATCTGTGCAGAATCTCAGACGTATTTGACAACCATCGAAGGATTGGAAGAGGAAAAATTTTTATATTCATTAATCAAATCTACAGAATCTTACACGTCTGGTGCTATTTATTGGTTAGGAGCAAAGTGGCAAAGTAGTGAGAAAGCGTGGCAATGGGTAGACGGAAAATTTATTGTTTCTACTGGTAAGCAATTCAAATCTTTCAGTCAAACTTCGGCTTACCAAGATTCATTAAAAATCAATAATTCCTACTCCAGACGATAGAATAATTAATCGACCCGAGATGTATACCGGAACTTCTTTATGTTTAGCGGTTCAGTGGAGAGGACAAAATAATGTAAGCGGTCTGTTTTGGACAGCCAAGGATTGCAACAATGCTGGAAGATACATATGCAAGAAACCAGCCATAGGTAATAGAAATAGAAAGAAATTTGCTCGTATATGTAACACGTATATATACTTAAATATCTGTAGAATTTTTCCTTATTTTATACAGTCTTGCCAGAAAATCTTAACCAAACATTGACGGCTCTATCGGGCACGTTAACTTCATTTAACTATCCATCTAATTACGTCAATGATCTGCATTACGTTGTTACAATTAAAGGTCCAGAACAGTCCAGAATATGGTTCCGTTTCCAACATGTTGACATTGAATGGCAAGAACAATGTCTGTATGATTATGTGGCTTTACAGAATTCTCCAAACGGTCCAGAAACGAGAGTTTGTGGTCAAGAAGACGATCGATTAGACAGGTAAAATCTGAACAGAATTATTTCTAAGTTTATTTGACAGAAATTAAAAAAAAAAAAAAAGTGATTTAAATAAACGATTTTGTGACTAAGACTACATCTTATATACAAATTATTTTTATAATAAATAAAATAAATATAAGTAAATAAAAATATATTCGGTATTTTTAAATAAGGAGTCAGAATATTCCGTAATTTATAAAACTTTTAAATAAATAAATAATTTCCGCTGTAGTCCATCTGTATGGCTGTCTGACCTTCCTTTTAATCTCGAGAACAACATTAGATAGATAAGAGGCGAGACTAGATATGGAAAGTATGTGGAAATATCTGTTCGTATATCGAGACCTCTTGCCCTTAAGCGGGCAAGAGACCTCGATATACGAACTTTTGGAAGTCACGTACCGACATGATTTTGTTCTTATTAGGAAAAGTATGATGTATAGGGGCAAGAGATCGCGACCATAAGAGATAGTATTATTATTATTAAAATCTGTATCCCAGCATCACGACGATGTACAATAGTTTTTGCTCGTTATAGAATATTAATTTAATATTTTAAAGCTATTTTTAAACATTTATTGACATTCTGTATTAAAATTCAGAAATTCTTTTGAAAAATAAAATTATCGATATAGTCTTCGCTGTATTATATTATAGGATGTATACATATTAAAAACTTAGCTTAAAATTATAATAGGAAGCCGAAATATTACATTTTTTAGATAGTTTATTTGTTAATAAGTTTAATTATTATATAAAAAAACAGTAAATATATTTAATATATTAATCTATAATTGTTTCTGTGCATTCGCATGATATCTTGACTGCTAAGAGTTCATTAGCAATTTTAATGATCAATGAAAGGGTGACTAAAATCTCTCAAGAGTTTCATTATACCGGAAATCAATTTCACTAGATGATTTCCTTTCATTTTATTCATTAATGTAAGTGCTGAATTTTACACTTTTACGAAAACTTTCAAGTATAATTTTCAAACGAAAATTTTAATTTAAAATTTAAGTTTATAAAATGATAATTATAAAACTATCATTTTTAAAAACTCAAAATTCAAATTATTATTCATTTATTTAACTATGCAGAAAATATAACCAAAAAGTTTTTTTTTAATTTATATTTTCTCCAATTTATAAATTCTATTAAAATGTAAATCATCATTTTTTACAGTAAATGTTTTCTGGATGTGAAATTTCTTAAAATTGTGTATGAAATTTTTAATAATGATTATACAGTCGACCCCCCATAACACTGTTGATAATTCCGTTTTACATGAATTCCATGTTGTACGAGTCACTTAGATTTTACAAATACGTGTGCCAGGCTGTGAACAGCTCACGTATTTGTAAAATCTAAGTGACTCGTACAACATGGAATTCATATAAAATGGAATAATCAACAGTCTTATAGGGGGGTCGACTTGTAATAAGTCCTATTAATGAACAAAGTCCAAATTGATCCGTTCATAATTGTTTCGCAAGTAAAACAAGAATTCGCGTTTTTAAATCGTTATGAGAGATCAGTAATGTACTTCTCCAGTAACATGCCAGAGAAAAAGTTTTCGTCATTCTTCATCCCGTCATTTAAAAAAGGACGACTGATGTTTCTACTGATTGATAATGGTAAGTCATCACCCTCTTAACAGCTCTATTAGAAAATAACGATGGTTATTTACACTATGAAATATTTCTATGAGAAGATATTCCAATTACTAGAAAACTTGCTTCTGAATAATATATATATATANCCCCCCTATAACACTGTTGATTATTCCGTTTTATATGAATTCCACGTTGTACGAGTCACTTAGACTTTACAAATACGCGAGCCGTTCACAGCCCCGCACACGTATTTGTAAAATCTTAGTGACTCGTACAACGTGGAATTCATATAAAACGGAATTATCAACAGTGTTACAGGGGGGGGTCGACTGTATTAACTTTCTTCAAATTGAAAATTAAGTGAAAACTAATAAAAGATTCTGGAATTAATAAAACTTTTAGTAAACAATCTGATGCAAAACAAAATTAAAATTACATTTACAAGTTAGACTAATTATAAATTCTTTACTAGCTTGACATCATTTATAAATTTGCACTATAACATATCTGATTTATAATAGTGATAATTAAATATAAACTATAAATTATCTATAATATATTTAACGATAATTTAATACAATTGATAATATTAAATATTATTCTATTCTCTATATATTTAATAAAATCATTTGTCCTCTTACGAATTGGTTTAGATCATCAGTCTAGATCAGGCCTATATATAATGTATTTGGCATATCAATTTGCCCCTAATTTTTGCAAATAATTTTCAGTAATAAAATGCATAATTTAACGTAGAAAATGACGTAAATATTTAAACCCGAATGGAAATATTTAATTATTTTTAATGTTTAACTTCATAATACATTAAGTATAAAGTTCATAATGGAAAAAGTTCAAATTTTTTTTCACATTTAATTATTAATAATTTACGTTTAAACATTTTTAGAATTCAGAATTTTAATGACATATTTATGAATTCATTAATAAATAAATAATGTTTATTTATTCGGATTACTAAGCTAATTAAAACTAAATAGAATAGTAAATTTATTAATCGCTAAATTTTTCTAAAGCGAGGATTTCTATAATTACAGTTGTAATTGTGCCGATTCCTGTACCAGACTGCAATCGAACTATTGTCTTAAGCAGTTTGCATCCACGTGATGTTATCATGAGTCCTGGATATGATAACATCTATCCAGCTGATATCAAGTGCCATTATGAGATAACGTGTGCTCAGGGTCAATCCATAGATTTGCATTTTACTGATTTTCATCTGGAAAATCATGTCAAGTAAGAATTTGAAGTATCTCTTAATTCTATCCGTGTTAAAATATTTATCGAAAAACTTTAATACGCATTTTTGCATGTAAATTGAAATTCCTCGAATATAATACGCACCTGTCTCTCTCTCTCTCTCGTTTGTAATTATTAAAATCAATTTTACTAAAATGTTAGTTACCAATGCAAATAAAATAATTTTTTGGAATTAAATATTTTAAATTTACGAATAAAAACCTCGAGATGAGTTTAAGAAAATATTGACAAAAATGTCTTCAAATATGAATATATTTAAAAACATTTTAATAATAAAATGTTTTTAAATATATTCACAATTAAAATNTATTAACAGTGTTTTAGGGGGTCGACTGTAATTGTTTAACAATTGTATGAAAAAACAATGAATTTTTATTTTATATTCTTTTATGGTATGTAATAAATTATGTATGAAAAATTACAGTATATTTAACGATGATTAAATATAATTTTAAATGAGCAATTATTTTATTGTGACATCATCACAATGCCGGGCTGTAATTTTTAATCATATGTTTAATTTATTTAATTTAAAATATATTATCTGAATCACAAATTGGTCCTGTATTGTACATCATACATTCTGGATATAATTTGTTAATTGAAATCACGTAACTTTCAGTCTATATCCGAAGATTATATATAGTTAATCGGGACCTCCTGCTCCTCATCTTTTCATATCTGGTCTCGAATTTAATCTGTTCCTCACTATTCTAAAGATTAAGAAAGGACAGACAGCCAGACAGAAAGACGACAATGGGAATTCATAGATCTAACAATTTTTTTCAAATTGCAGCCCAATTATATTTAATCATCATTATATTATATTACATTTCTGAATGATAGATTTAATTCTTTATAGACTCAGAGTGTTTTTATATTGTCTATATATTTTTAATTATCTCTTTCAGATATGATTTCTTTTCGGATAAAAATACATTATATGTCACCTTCCACTCTGATTATTCTTTAACATCGAACGGTTTTGTGGCAACTTGGGAAGTGATAGATATATCATCCTGCGATGATAGATATATCAATGTAAGTGATTTCGGCATTTTAACCAGTATCGGCTATCCTGGGCCTTATCTACCTGGTATGGACTGCATAACTACATTAATAACATCAACAGAGGACCTGTTACTCCTTTCCTTCATGTCATTTGACGTTGGAAAATCCGGAAATTGTACTACCGATTATCTACGTATTAATTTAGACAACACTGAAAATTACTTTATGACAATGTGTGGTAATGAAAGCAATTATCCTTCCGGATATGCAATTCTCTCTTATGATAATGTTCTACGATTGAATTTTCACAGCGACAAAGGAAGTCGTTTCGGATATACTGGATATAATGTCACTTATCAAGTTTTAAGTAAGTTATTACTTAATTTTTATTTACCATTTAGTTTTGATATTTAATGTATTTTTAAATAGTGATTATCGTAAGAGTTGTGAGATTATCGTTTACCAGTTTCTAAAAAGATGCAATACTAATAACCTTTTAATATCACGTAATTTTACCTACTGCTTCATATTTTTCGCGTCAGATTCTGCAAGATAGCATTGCTTTCAATAACTCATATATTCTATTTTTAGATCAAGAGTTTTAAATTGCGTAATTCTAGACGATAATTTTGTAAATTGACTTAATAATTTACCAGAGAAATGATCGGGCATTTATTTTAAGCACATTCTTGGCTCCGATTTTTTTCTTTCTTCTTTAATTTTTGCAAGACGTATATTCCACGTCTAAATTCTGCAAAAGTGCATTCTCGTAAATGAAATGGTTTGGAAAATGGCCAAACTTAATTTTACAGAAAATACTGAAACTTTCTCAACAAATTTAATCCAAGCCTAAACAAATATCGATAAATACAATTCTAAGTTGTTTTTTCCCCTTGTTTTCATCGTTAATGTTAAATCATATGCAAAAGAATATGATTAATTGCAATTTGTAAATTTGTAACTAATTTGTAATGAGAATTTTTTATATCTAAATGCCACTAATTTACGTAGTGTAATGTTTATTTCTTGTATAAGTAAGAGTTCTCTTAGTGTAATGTAGAAAATCTTTTAATGAAAAATATTTTATATCTGTATAAATTATATTTCTAAACAAAATTACAAAATTTTTCATAGGAAACAAAAACATTAAATGAAGGCGTGTCCTGCTTAATATTTCGCTTGCAAGTAATAATGTTATCAAGTCAAATAAGCTTTACACTGTAATTACGGTATAAATGTATTTTTTCATTTATTTATTAATAATTGCTATACAAGGCGATGTTCTTCAAGCTATAGAATACATATATATCAGTGTAAACTATAAATAAATAAATATACATACAAAAATATACATGAAAAAATACAACAAATGTAAGATTAATATGCTTAAACTAGCAATTGTAATCTATAATTATGATAACTATAAAATTGAAATGAGCATAAATATATTAATATAAGAAACATTGAAATACAAAAACCACTCCTATCTAATCTTCTATCTAAATGGATCATATAAAATTAAACCATATGCAGACATGTCTGGAATATATTAAGTATTTACTACATGCTTTAAACTTTGTATATGATAAATGTAAATAATCTGCATATGTCAGTATAAATTTCCTACATATTTTTGAAAAATGTGGAAAGTTTTCTTTACTCTGTAAAATTTATTCTCAGTGCAGTGGGCACATACAGCATTGGATACTTGATTTCAATTTAAAATACGAATTTAATTATGTTGGTAGAAGATATATTAAATTCTGTTAAAAATGTATTAAGAAAAATAAAATTCGTTTATTGAAGCTGACGAAATCAAATTATTTCATATTTTTATTTTCGGAAAAAAAAACAATTTAAAAAAATTATTCGAGAATAATAAATACAGAATCCCTGCTGTGTAATATTAAAAACAAATTTAAAAAAAATATTCTTTTTGACAAATATTAAGTGTAGTTTCTCTGAGGAGAAAAGGCATGAAAACAATAATTATTTTTCTTTAATTTTATCAAAAATAACAGAAAATTCAGATACACAACTTAATTTTTTATGAACTTTTACATTTACTTGAAGATCTGCGAAGTTCTTTTTTATTAATAAAATTTTAATTTGTTTATTTTACATATGTTTTTATGTCGTTACGTAATTATTTTAAAATGAAAACAAATGTAGAATTTTTCTTTCCTTCTTTTTTACATTAAAAAATTTAGATGTTTAATTAATTTAAAATTTAATGAATTAATTTATTTTAATTTGCAAAAACTGTTTAAAATTTATTTATTATAATCAACTTTTAAATTACTTAATTTGCATTCTTTTTTTTAAATAGAGAGAGATTCTTCTGTACAGTCGATTCTAACGCTTCCTATAGATAGCGAGGGGATTATTGCAAGTCTAAATTATCCTTTGCCTTCTCCAATTGGAATAAATTACACTCAGAGAATTGTAGCTCCAATTGGATATAATATTCAATTAAAATTGCTAAGTAACCAAACGTTAGTGGGTGACTGTAGCCGGGGTGAGGTGAGATTGGAAGATGCGTATACAGAAAATGTGACATCGGTTTCTTTATGTCAAACAGAAAATAAGAATGGAAAAGTTAAGTTCCTGTCCACCCTCAACAGTATGTTTATATTGTCGTCAACTACACCCCAGTTTTATGCACCATTTTACATCATAAAGTTTAAGACATTTATAGGTAATATGAATTATATTTAGGTAAGGATGAATTTAAAATTAAAATTTAATATAAAGATAATTATGAAATTTTACAGATACACAATTTGTTAGTAAAACTTTATTCTTTCCTTCATCATATGTGGACGCTTGTATTCCTAATCCTTGTCAGCATGAAGGAATATGTGTAACAAACGAAGATTTTACATCTTATTGTAATTGTCAAGGACAATTTACAGGTAAATTTAATTATTTATAATAAATAATTTATACGAATGTTCCTGTCTTAAATGAGTTTTTCTCGTTTTAGGATTGTTTTGTCATATTCAATGGTGTGATCTTCAACCATGTGGAGAACACGGCTATTGTAATCTGACTGAAAGTAGTTACATATGTGAATGCGAACCTAAGTTTACAGGAGAACATTGTACAGAACCAGTAGCTCCTTGTAATCCTAATCCTTGCCAAAATGGAGAATGCCTCATACAGACCAATGGAAGTTTTGTGTGCCACTGTAATGTCTGGTACGAAGGTCAGCACTAATAACTGAGTTCTTATTGTAGGGATTCCTCCTATTGATCACAAAATTAATGAATTCCTTTAAGCAATTTAATTGAAGAATTAAACATCGCCTAACGAGGTTAGAAATCTCTCGGGATTTAAAGAATTTTTACGCATTGCTTCTTATTTCAAGAGTATTTTAGTTCGTATATGTAATTTTTTTTTAATATTTAGTTTCAAATTGATTTCTTAGTGTCAGCTCTCCCGATCAATAGTTAGAGAAGTAATTAACATTATCGTATCGAAGCAATTAAGGCATCTAACGCTATCATTACTGCAGGGATACGTTACTTTCTAAACGATTTCATTAAAATCTCCGAGTTTAAAGTCATAAATTGACAAGATAATTTTCAATAACGTTTTCTAATAAATTAGCTATTTTCTGAAAAATTTATTAACGTTAAAAATAGAATAAAATGAAAACTTTTGAAGCAAATGCTTATGTTTTTGTTTCGAACATTATTGTTAGATTCCTCAATAAACACTTTAAAAATATAAAAACTTAAATTATGTTAAGGGAATTTCTAAAATTATAGAGCGATATCGAATACTGCAGAATTTATTGGTGACAGAAATTTCAGAGAAATTCCAGTTTAATTTTTAGTATTTCTTATTCACGTATGCTAATAAAGAATACGCATTTTCCCGTAAAGTTTATATTATTCGTGTTGTCAATCTTATCGTTTTAAATATTTAAATATATATT